CAGAGGCTGGTCCATGGCAGCAGCCCCCTCTGTAGGGGGTCTGAGCTTCCCATCCATATAGATACAATGCCTGTGAGACTACCCTATGCCATCCCTTATCCTTACTGCCAACATAAAGGGTATGGCCAAAGTGCACTGCACCCCCGCAAACTCTAGCTAGTGAGTAGCCCGTTACAATGGTTTTAGACGTGAAACTTCTCTACATTACTCCACCCTTGCAAAGTTCAAGAAACTACAACTGACTGGCTTCTATCTCCCCCGTCTCATCTGTGCCCAGTGAGGGATTAAACCCCAACCTATGTATTTAAATGGGACTAACTAACTATACAAATGTGTGTTATCTGTAAGATGCACTTAGTTTAGATAAAGTATGAATACAATCTAGTCATCCATTTACAACTCACGATTGAAATACAGCTTGGCTTATTTTTGTGCACATATCTAGACAGCCACTCTTGGGATGAAATTCACACAAATCTCATTTAAATGAGCTTAACATGGGGCATTACAAAGAGCCAATGGGATGTAATCTAGTGCGCTCTCAGACACTGGGTTGGAATGGTAATGTCTTCTTTTTCACATCCCCTTAATATGGGTTCCAAGCTACACAATAACTAGAACCTTAGACTTGTATTGCACTGAAGCCCACCTTAAGGATCTCTGAGAATATTCAAGCAATAGAAAGGGGTTTTGACTCCTTTGCTACTTTAAATCAATAAGGCAAATGATGTATTGCATAGGTGAACGGGTTAATTTTCATTCGATTATAGCTCTATCAACTATTCACTTTTTTAAAACTTAGCCAAACATGTATTCGTAACAGAGATCTATATATGTACCAAACTTTAAAGTTTGAAAAAGTTGTGTTTGATTAATCAAGAAAAAAATAAAAGCATCTTGTCAATTTCCGTATGCAAAAAACCTCAACACTGTCCTCTAAAAGTCATGTTCAGATAGTTTAAAAAAAGTTATAATTTGACCAAATTCCTCTCTCCTATGGACTAGGACTAAGCACAAGAAGTTCTAAGCATCTATACAGCACCCCAAACTCGAAATAAGATATGCAATTTGCGCGATGTAAATTGAGTAGCTTATTTAATCATTTGGCGCTGTCTACACAGTGCCAAATTCTGAAATAAAGTGCTATTTTGAATCATCCCTTATTCCTCATAGAATGAGGTTTACAGGGATGGCGAAATAGCACATCTGCTATATTTTGAAATAGTGGATGACCTCTGGTATCCCGAAATAACTTTCCTCTTAGGGTATGGCTACACAGCAAAGTTTTCCTGAAAGAAAATTCCCCAGAGAAATGAAGCCAAGTGTTGACCAACTATTCAAATAGTAAGACAAAAGAAATTCCTAAAGCATACTTGTATCAGTATGACAATGTATTACTGACAGAGTTCAAGTTTCAAGATAGGAAGTGCTGACACCTACAGCAACACATTTAACCACAATTAAAGTCCATCTTGAATGCCAGACGGTTATGCTGCAATAATCTCATTGTGTAAGTCATTTCCTTCTTTAATTTCTATACTGAAAATCAAGTTTCTTCTCTGATTTGGGGGTCATATCAGACTATCAGTTTTTACACAGAGCTTCAGTTGTTTTTGGTGAAATCTGCTTAAAAACTGATGGTATGAGCAATTTCAGAACAAGGTTTAAATATACCTATGACAGTTTTTAAAATGTCCCAGTTAAAGCTGGGTTAGTTTTTAATCTCAGAGTTTAGTAGCTAAAATTTAACGTTTTCACTTTGTACTACTGAAAAATATAAAGAGCATCTTTACAATGTACTATACTGTGCATACATTGTATTCTGAAATAACCTCTGAAAGATGTAAAGCATCCAATTTTTGCCCCTAAGTCTAGTTAAAGAAAATACATTCTGCATATACTGATTAAAAATAAGCAGCATACTTGTTTATAAAATATGGGTTTGTATATACAAGGTAGACATCAAATGCAGCAGTGATCCTTTAACTTGTCTGTTTTACCTAAGACAATTAGTAGGGATGTTGACATGTAGATGACTACACGATTAACCAATAAGCCTGGGCTTATTAACCAGTAAGTAGGGGGAAAAGGCGGGAGCTGGTTGGTGCCTGTGGGGAGCCAGCTTTTAAACGAGCTCCCTACAAGCACCAGATCTGCCAGCCCTCCCACCCCCCAACTGCTGCCTCTGTATCAGAGGCAGCAGTGTGGAGGGTGAAGGAGGAAGGCGGGAATGGATAAACGTGGGGAGCCGGCTTTTAAACTGGCTCTCTGCGTGTGCTGGCTCTGCAGACCCAGCTTTCTCTCCCTCTCCCCGCTGCTTCCTACAGAGGCAGAGGGAGAGTGTGTATGGGGGGGTGGGAAGCGAGGAGGAGGGACAGGCAGGAGCTGGTGCTTGTGGAAGCCCCCAGCTATTGTCTCTATCTATGGGGAGCTCTGATTCCATAGGGACGGGGGCTGCTATATCAGAGGCAGCAGCGTGGGATGACAGGGGGCTCCTTGGGAATGGTGCCAGGAGCAACATTGGCCACCCGCCCCAACTCTGGCGAGTATAAAGTAGTCCTGTAACTACTAAAATTTGATGCAGTTGCATGACTATTCAATTATACACTAACAGCTCTACTAACTAGCTAAGGCCCAAATCTTGCCAATTCTGTCTGTCTGTGTGAGTGTGTGGTACCATTGACTTGAATGGGGTTTTGAAGGCTTGTACCTCTTTCTCTGCAAGATGAGGTATCTAAAGTTCCCTCAATAGCTACATTGTTTTTATCGTTTCCCACCTTTTCTATATCAAATACCAAAAGTACTATACATACACAGATAACGTAAAGGCACTTATTTATTTAATATGTAAGGCAATTTGTAAGATTCTAAGGACGGCTATTATTTGTTCACCCAAACAAGCTGGGTGAACACTGGAAGTGGAGAGAGAAGAAGAGATTCTCCTCTTCATTTGACTTTTAAAACAAGTTCACTGGGACTGTATTCGCTCTTATTTTGGACCATTTTGAATATATCCTACTGAGTTTATCAGCAGCAATATTCCTTGAAACAGTAAATTTTGAACAAATTTCTAATTTGTGAGAGTATTTGTACTAGAAACCTAATTCTGTGGTTATGCAAATCCAATCACAAAATAGAAATATACTGTACTATCTGAGCTCCGTGTATAATCAAAATTAACCAAATCTCAGCTTGAATTTCAAATATAAAATACTAACAACGAACCATTTGTATGCAATCTACAGCTTGAAAATTGTGTACAAAAATTAGCTAGCAAATTTTGAAATACTGTACCAATGAACTATTTTTGAGAGGTATAGATCTCAAGCTGCTCATCGGTTCAAACAGAAAGAGGAAAAATCTACAAAATAAATTATTCTCTGAAGAATAATTCACAGGCAAAATAACTGCCCCAGGCCACCATAACTGGAAGCTATTATTTATTTCAACAGGAAATAGTGCCAATAATTAGAAATGTTAAAGATTGTAAGTGTGTTAAGTAAAAACGCTTCAAAAATCCCCCCCACATAATTTCACACCCCTGAACTAACACATACCCTGAATTACCCAAAAACACTATTCCACATTATTTCAGCGTGATAAAGCCCAAGTCTAAAAATCTCAACTACTCTTAAGAATTCATGCTCAAGTAAAACTACAATAATACAAAATATACAATACAAAAGCTATATTTTATTTCAGGTAAAGGAGGTTTTTTTTCCCAAAATTCAGAATGATGGGAAATCATGGGTCGATATAAACCTAATTATAAGTAAATTTAAAGTATAATGTCTTTTTCCTTCTTAAATTATAAAAGAAAGACAAATAAAAAAAGTTTCAAGAAATGTTCTTTATGCAGATAAAATTGTTAATTACACACTAGACAGATAACTCTCCACTATGTTTTTAAAATATAAAAATCACAATCCCATTTAGCTATTTTTTCATTCTTTAAGGTAAAATATCATTAACGTGACCTATAAAAATTTTATTTTTTCTTATGCTTATTCGATATATTGGCATTTCTTTCATAGTGTGTCTTGTTTCAATTCAAGTCATATGGGATTCAGTTAAAATCTTATTATTTTATAAATTATAGCAGCATTAGGCTTTAAATCAAGTTTAAAAAGCTAACACATTTTAGTGTTTTATCAGATTTTCTAGGGCTAAAGTTTGTATGGCATGTGACAACTGCAGTACACACTGTGGTCTAGATACTGGTACTCAGAAGAATTAGTGTTTTAATATGAAATTTAATTTGAAAAAGTAGAAAATCAAAAAAGCAAATAGATATATAATAAAAATGTATGTGGCTTTTTGTCAAGGTATCTTTAAAATTTTTAGTAGTAGTCATAGAACAAATCTTAGCAGGAAAAGAAAATAGTAACAGCCAGTAGCATGCTGTGGAGGCTAAGTATAGCTAATGATAAAAGAGAGCCTGAGAATACATTCGGGATATGGAGCAGCACAGTCTGCACCATGTTGTGGTTAGTTTGTTCAGCATAGTACGATGTGAGATAGACACAGCGTTAATTGCACAGCTGCATCTTTACTACATGGAAAGGGATTCAGTGAGTGGCTTTGAGCTTGGCTCTAGATAGAGTTGCTAGGTTTCTCTAGTATTGAAACTTACTACTCATTCAAGAACAACAGCTAGAGCGAGAAAGGAACCATTAAAGCTGCTTAAGAATAGTGAGAATTTCCACACACTGTGCATAACTTAAGGAAAATGCAGGACAATGTAGCACTTTAAAAGTGCTACATTGTCCTGCATTTTGCTTCAGCTACCCCAGACTAACACGGCTACATTTCTATCACTATTCTACATAACTTAAGGGTTATCTATCATATCAACTTAGATACAGATGTAGTAGCGCAAGCTAGTACTGGTGGTTCCTTCACAGGAGGAAAAGTGGGGAGGAAATTAACAAGACGGAAATGGTGGCAAATACTGAAAAGAACAGAATCTTGCATTTAAAAAAAAAAAAAAAAAGTCTGACCTGAGTTCTGTTAAAAGCCACACGTGCAAATACTGCCTGTGAGATTCCTGCTCTTTTCAATTCATCACGCACCCACTGGTAGATTTCGGAAGACACCTCTGTGTTGGTTGAGACCTGCTGCTCCAACGGTTTGTTCATGGATCTACTGACGGGAGGAGGGTGGTTCAAGTACTGTTGATTTAAGGACTGTTGGGCTAGAAGTCTGTTCACTGCATACTGCTGGTTCAGCAACTGAGCCATTACTAGCTGCTGATTTACCAACTGAGGGCTAATAGGAGTTGATACAAGTCCAGGGTGCAGGTTTGGAAGTGGGGTCCGAACAGATGGCTGACTACTATGAGAAAGCTGAACAGGGGATGGAGGCTGTTCGGCTGTGTTCCCTGGGACCGGTTGCTGACCAAAGTTGACATGGTTGGCACCTTGTTGGGATAGTTCAGAAAGGCTATCCATTTCAACTAGAGTGGAAAAGAAACATTTAGTTAGACAAAATACCACTAAATACAGATGAACTGAAAATAGTACACTAAATGTTCTTCATGAGACATGCTATAAATTAAAACTCTCTAGCAGAAGGTCACTTCATTTAGGTTTTTGCTTACTTTATTTTACATTACATAAGAAGTTTAGCAGCAACACCATTCCTGCCTAACTTTACATTTTTAGCCTTTCAAGAAAATGAAAGAATTCTCATGCATGCACACATACAGACAGTAGTACCCAAGATGAACTGGTGGGATTCAGTAAAACTATCTTATTTAGTCCAAGTATGACAAGGGGGATCCTTTCCTGAAGGGCCAGAGTAACATAACAGCCACCAAATTAAATACCACCATCACAACTGCAGTGAAGATAGACATTCATATTAATAGGAGTCTAAAAGCATTGTTAATAACTAAGGGCCAAAAGTCAGGAAGCAACAACTAAACAAAGAGAAGAGAAGGAGCAGAGAAGAGGGAATGGGAAGCAGTGATTCTTTGATCTAAAGGAACTCAGTCCTGGTCTACACTAGGGAGTTATTTTGAAATTACTTCCCTTTTTTCGAAACAAAAGGGAGCGTCCACATTACCAAGCCTGTTATTTCAAAATAATGGGCTTTTTATTTTGAAATAATTTCCTAGTGTAGACATGCCCTCAGAGAGCCTCTTCCTCCCCTGTAAGCATCAGAGTGCACAACTCTGCATCCCGGCATGAAAAGGCTAGCAGTGGCTGTTACTTTTACAGAGCAGCCTCACTGGCATATGGACCCACTGACGGCTTATGTTGCACCATGAACATTTAACTCCTGAAGAATCTTCCCTACTGTATTAGCAGTTCCCAGACGAATGGAGAAGGGCAATCTAGACACCCCTGTACCCTGTTAATTCCTGGATAATGTATCCATTCTATGACCTCTTTGAAACTAGAATAATTTATGTTGAATTATGATATGGGACTGTACAAGCACACACAGCAGGATCAGGACAAAGACCACCTTAATCCCTCTCACTCTTCAGCCATGCTCAGGAATCTGGATGTGTGGGGAAAGCCAGGATGTTTTATCTTATAGTCTCCCAGGCATGTATCATTGTTTCAGTAGCTTGAAGCACTGCTTAACTTTTTTTTTTTAATGGCACCTTAAGAACATAAGAACAGCCGTACTGGGTCATACCAAAGGTCCATCTAGCCCAGTATCCTATCTGCCGACAGAGGCCAGCACCAGGTGCCCCAGAGAGGGTGGACCGAAGACAATGATCAAGCCATTTGTCTCCTGCCATCCTTCTCCAGCCTCTTCTGACAAATAGAGGCCAGGGACACCAATTCTATCCCCTGGCTAATAGCCTTTTATGGACCTAACCTCCATGAAATTATCTAGCTTCTCTTTAAACTCTGTTGTAGTCCTAGCCTTCACAGCCTCCTCTGGCAAGGAGTTCCACAGGTTGACTACACGCTGTGTGAAGAAGAACTTTCTTTTATTAGCTTTAAACCGGATACCCATTAATTTCATTTGGTGTCCTCTAGTTCTTCTATTATGGGAACTAATAAATAACTTTTCTTTATCCGCCCTCTCCACACCACTCATGATTTTATATACCTCTATCATATCCCCCCCAAGTCTCCTCTTTTCTAAACAGAAAAGTCCCAGTCGCTTTAACCTCTCCTCATATGGGACCAATTCCAAACCCCTAATCATTTTAGTTGCCCTTTTCTGAACCCTTTCCAAGGCCAAAATATCTTTTTTGAGGTGAGGCGACCACATCTGTACACAGTATTCAAGATGTGGGCGTACCATAGTTTTATAAAGGGGCAGTAAGATATTCTGTGTCTTATTTTCTATCCCTTTCTTAATAATTCCTAGCATCCTATTTGCCTTTTTGACCGCCGCTGCACACTGTGTGGTAGTTTTCAGAGAACTGTCCACGATAACTCCAAGATCTCTTTCCTGATTTGTCATTCCCAAATTAGCCCCTATCATACTGTACGTATAGTTGGGGTTATTTTTCCCGATGTGCATTACTTTACACTTATCCACATTAAATTTCATTTGCCATTTTGTTGCCCAATCACTCAGTTTCGTGAGATCTTTTTGGAGTCCCTCACAGTCTGCTTCTGTCTTGACTATCCCAAACAGTTTTGTATCATCTGCAAACTTTACTACCTCACTGCTTACCCCTTTCTCCAGATCATTTATGAATAAGTTGAAAAGAATTGGTCGCAGGACTGACCCTTGGGGTACACCACTAGTTACCCCCCTCCAATCTGAAAATTTACCATTTATTCCTACCCTTTGTTTCCTGTCTTTTAACCAGTTCTCAATCCAAGAAAGGACCTTCCCTCTTATCCCATGGCCATGTAACTTACACAAGAGCCTTTGGTGAGGGACCTTGTCAAAGGCTTTCTGAAAATCCAAGTATACTATATCTACTGGATCCCCCTTGACCGCATGTTTGTTAACCCCTTCAAAGAACTCCAATAGATTAGTAAGACAGGATTTCCCTTTACAGAAACCATGTTGACTTTTGTCCAACCAATTAATGTTCTTCTGCATGCTTCACGATTTTATTCTTTACTATTATTTCGACTAATTTGCCCGGTACTGAAGTTAGACTTACCGGTCTGTAATTGCCAGGATCGCCTCTAGAGCCTTTTTTAAATATATTAATGTCTGCTATTAAGTGTGTGTTATAATTAATCCAAAGTCCTAGATTGAAGAACTTGAAAGCATAGTACCTAGAGTTGAAACTGACAGAGTTGGTTTCTCAAATGTTGTTCTATAAGGAGTTGCAGTGTGGTTAAGAAGAGTGCGTCATTGCTTAAAACCACTTTTCTGCAGTGCAAAAGACATTATTATATCTTTTATCTTTGGCCCCAGGAGTCTCGCAGTTCTGGGCTTGCATATAGGTTGACATGAAGGGAATGGGCATAACCTCAGCAGTGTTGTCAGTCTAGGATGGGTCAATTGCCGTTGAAAGCCGTAGAAGTACTAATAAATGATACTTGACTGGATTTAGGATTTTAATTCTTAATCTTTTTCTTAATCTATTGAAACAACACCATCTCTAGTAGTCTAAGTTTCTTAAAGTTGGTAACTTCATTCTTTTCTCAGTGGATTTGTTTTTTGTTCTCGTTTATAATGTATTTGGTATATGGTTGTAAGCTTGATTAATGGATTTTAAGGAATTGAAGCTCTGGACTAAAGGATTAAAAATGCAGTATGATGCTCAGACTCTCAACATATTGTTTCAACAACTGAAATAATTTGTTTCTCAATTTGTGCTGCTGTGTGTTACAGATGATTTTTTCCCCCCCCTTTTCATGCAGAGTATGATTTCTTCCATTGTGAACAGCACTTACTATGCAAATGTCTCAGCAGCAAAATGTCAGGAATTTGGAAGGTGGTATAAACATTTCAAGAAGGCAAAAGATATGATGGGTAAGCAAAAAAAAAAAAAAAAAAAGTTGCAGTGGTTGTAGCGGCTACATACCATTACATGTGTGCCAAGGTCTGTCTCAGTCTTAGAAGCTAGAGCTCTTCAAGGTCAATGTGTAGTACACTTTTTCTGAGAGCATGGGAAGTATGCATATAATCAGAGAATTAATTTCAATAAGTATTTGTTATTAAACCAGCCAAACTGTCTTGGCTTGTCTGACATTTGGAAAATTGGAATAAGATATAAAGTTGTCATTTTGTAAATCTCTGAGACCTACCACAGACTAGAATAATTGTTTTTTTAAAAAAATCTTTATTTAGAACTGTGAAAGATTGATTCCCCTCCCCCCCCCCTCCCAAAAAGCTAAAATTATATTTTAAAGAAGCAATTTTGTAGTTACTGTAACAAAGACTAATCTGGTCTCCATCACTCTCCTCCTGCAAGAAACTTACGAATTAACAAACTGTATCTTGTTGTAACTTCAGTTCATTATGACAAGGGCCTTGTTATAGCTTTTGGGACAAGTTTTTGCTGATTATAAGAAGACTATTGTGCGTGTGTATATATATTATAGGATTATAATAAATTAGTTTGTGATATATTAATTCTTTAATGTGTTAATAAATGGGTTTTTTTTAATCAATATATATTTGGGCATTTTATATCAGTTTCTACATAATTTTCAAACAGTTTTTGTAATGAAGAAAATAGTTTAATTTTGTTTGAATTTTGAGCATGTTCTAGCTTTTAATATTTAAAGCAAAACCATTCATCTGCCAAAACGGGTTCTTTGCCTTCTATAGCTTAAGGCAGTAATGAAGACAATGCATCACTTTTGTGGTAATTGCTTGAATTACTGTTCCAAGTGAATGGTACACTTGGGTTGATCTCTGCTTTCAGTTAGTGAAAACAGAAGGCTGTTTTCCCTATACTTGTTTGTAGCTTCTGTGTAATGTTAACTTCAGCAATGTCTGGTGTCTCAGTATGTGTAGAGTTTGAAGCTGTATTGCCTTCTGAGGTCTGTGTAAAGGCTTGATCCAAAGCCTATTGTGTTGTGTTGATGTTGATGGGCCTGATCCTTGAGCCAGTCTTTCCACTTCACAGAAGGGGATTTGCAATCTCTACAGCACCACTCCCTCCTTATGGTCTTTACCTCCCACCCCAACAGGGAATCTTGCTGTGAATTCTGAGTCTACAGAGGAAACAAAATTGAAGAGAAGGCAAACCAGGGTTAATGGGTCTCATTATCTGAAAGGAGAGCACAGCCATGAGGTTCACACTACATCCCCTCAAAAATCCCAATAGCTACTGAAACTAGAGGGAGAGCTCTATGAATGACAGAAAGCTATAGGTTCTCACTGGAGTTAGGTGGCATGGGGCTTCTTTGTAGAAGAACCCCTTCTAGATACCACTCTTGATAGTGTGAGGGGAATCCATGTATTCAGATTTCTTCCTACAAATTCCCTTCTTCAGAAGGATGATCTGCTGACTAATGGGTGAGGAACATTAATTACTGTGAAAATTGAAAATGATTTTTCCCCTTCTGGTAAACTGGGATTAGTTTCTTACACTGATATTTTTATTTATTGCCCTTTTAGGAATATTGCCAGTAAATGAAACACATTCGAACAAGGATCTATTTCAAATAAATCTGGCTTTTTAAATAAATCTGGCTTCAAAAATTTGGATGGGGAAAAGAGGGCTTATTAATAAAACCTAAATGAGTCTTGATCTAACCTGGACTTTTCCAGGTCTAAGTATGTATTTTACTCAGCTGTAAGGGAACCTAAATTGTCCACTGAGGAGCTAGGCATTAGAATAAAAAGTGTCATTAGCTCATACAGAGGAAGTGTCAGAGGAAGGCTGAACTGGAGAAGCTAAGGGTATGTCTACACTACCACCCTAGTTCGAACTAGGGTGGTAGTGTAGACATACCCTTAGCTTCTCCAGTTCAGCCTTCCTCTGACACTTCCTCTGTATGAGCTAATGACACTTTTTATTCTAATGCCTAGCTCCTCAGTGGACAATTTAGGTTCCCTTACAGCTGAGTAAAATACATACTTAGACCTGGAAAAGTCCAGGTTAGATCAAGACTCATTTAGGTTTTATTAATAAGCCCTCTTTTCCCCATCCAAATTTTTGAAGCCAGATTTATTTAAAAAGCCAGATTTATTTGAAATAGATCCTTGTTCGAATGTGTTTCATTTACTGGCAATATTCCTAAAAGGGCAATAAATAAAAATATCAGTGTAAGAAACTAATCCCAGTTTACCAGAAGGGGAAAAATCATTTTCAATTTTCACAGTAATTAATGTTCCTCACCCATTAGTCAGCAGATCATCCTTCTGAAGAAGGGAATTTGTAGGAAGAAATCTGAATACATGGATTCCCCTCACACTATCAAGAGTGGTATCTAGAAGGGGTTCTTCTACAAAGAAGCCCCATGCCACCTAACTCCAGTGAGAACCTATAGCTTTCTGTCATTCATAGAGCTCTCCCTCTAGTTTCAGTAGCTATTGGGATTTTTGAGGGGATGTAGTGTGAACCTCATGGCTGTGCTCTCCTTTCAGATAATGAGACCCATTAACCCTGGTTTGCCTTCTCTTCAATTTTGTTTCCTCTGTAGACTCAGAATTCACAGCAAGATTCCCTGTTGGGGTGGGAGGTAAAGACCATAAGGAGGGAGTGGTGCTGTAGAGATTGCAAATCCCCTTCTGTGAAGTGGAAAGACTGGCTCAAGGATCAGGCCCATCAACATCAACACAACACAATAGGCTTTGGATCAAGCCTTTACACAGACCTCAGAAGGCAATACAGCTTCAAACTCTACACATACTGAGACACCAGACATTGCTGAAGTTAACATTACACAGAAGCTACAAACAAGTATAGGGAAAACAGCCTTCTGTTTTCACTAACTGAAAGCAGAGATCAACCCAAGTGTACCATTCACTTGGAACAGTAATTCAAGCAATTACCACAAAAGTGATGCATTGTCTTCATTACTGCCTTAAGCTATAGAAGGCAAAGAACCCGTTTTGGCAGATGAATGGTTTTGCTTTAAATATTAAAAGCTAGAACATGCTCAAAATTCAAACAAAATTAAACTATTTTCTTCATTACAAAAACTGTTTGAAAATTATGTAGAAACTGATATAAAATGCCCAAATATATATTGATTAAAAAAAACCCATTTATTAACACATTAAAGAATTAATATATCACAAACTAATTTATTATAATCCTATAATATATATACACACGCACAATAGTCTTCTTATAATCAGCAAAAACTTGTCCCAAAAGCTATAACAAGGCCCTTGTCATAATGAACTGAAGTTACAACAAGATACAGTTTGTTAATTCGTAAGTTTCTTGCAGGAGGAGAGTGATGGAGACCAGATTAGTCTTTGTTACAGTAACTACAAAATTGCTTCTTTAAAATATAATTTTAGCTTTTTGGGAGGGGGGGGGGAGGGGAATCAATCTTTCACAGTTCTAAATAAAGATTTTTTTAAAAAAACAATTATTCTAGTCTGTGGTAGGTCTCAGAGATTTACAAAATGACAACTTTATATCTTATTCCAATTTTCCAAATGTCAGACAAGCCAAGACAGTTTGGCTGGTTTAATAACAAATACTTATTGAAATTAATTCTCTGATTATATGCATACTTCCCATGCTCTCAGAAAAAGTGTACTACACATTGACCTTGAAGAGCTCTAGCTTCTAAGACTGAGACAGACCTTGGCACACATGTAATGGTATGTAGCCGCTACAACCACTGCAACTTTTTTTTTTTTTTTTTGCTTACCCATCATATCTTTTGCCTTCTTGAAATGTTTATACCACCTTCCAAATTCCTGACATTTTGCTGCTGAGACATTTGCATAGTAAGTGCTGTTCACAATGGAAGAAATCATACTCTGCATGAAAAGGGGGGGGAAAAAATCATCTGTAACACACAGCAGCACAAATTGAGAAACAAATTATTTCAGTTGTTGAAACAATATGTTGAGAGTCTGAGCATCATACTGCATTTTTAATCCTTTAGTCCAGAGCTTCAATTCCTTAAAATCCATTAATCAAGCTTACAACCATATACCAAATACATTATAAACGAGAACAAAAAACAAATCCACTGAGAAAAGAATGAAGTTACCAACTTTAAGAAACTTAGACTACTAGAGATGGTGTTGTTTCAATAGATTAAGAAAAAGATTAAGAATTAAAATCCTAAATCCAGTCAAGTATCATTTATTAGTACTTCTACGGCTTTCAACGGCAATTGACCCATCCTAGACTGACAACACTGCTGAGGTTATGCCCATTCCCTTCATGTCAACCTATATGCAAGCCCAGAACTGCGAGACTCCTGGGGCCAAAGATAAAAGATATAATAATGTCTTTTGCACTGCAGAAAAGTGGTTTTAAGCAATGACGCACTCTTCTTAACCACACTGCAACTCCTTATAGAACAACATTTGAGAAACCAACTCTGTCAGTTTCAACTCTAGGTACTATGCTTTCAAGTTCTTCAATCTAGGACTTTGGATTAATTATAACACACACTTAATAGCAGACATTAATAAACTTAAGGATGTCTTGAGAAAAAAAGTTGGTTAGATAGAAAAATGTGCCAAATTTTAATCAAATTAATTTATAAAACCATTCAATAAAGTACTCTCTCACACACTGATGCACTACACTCAATATAGGCAATATGTTTTTGTGATAGGATGTCTGATCAACAAAAATCAGAGTGCAAATCCAATAGACCATGGATTTCAATAGTATTTAATGTGGAAAATAACTTCTATTAGCATACTAAAGGAACTGTCCAGCACATTTAGAAAACAATGACTCTCCAGAAGACAAAATCCTGATTATTAAGTTTCCTTTGCTTACCTATAGTTGTGCTATGGTGAAATCAACATTTAGCATGAAGCCTTTTGTTATATGAATTGCAATAACCAGTAGAAAAGCCAGTTTGGGGACAAAGGCAGTACATATTCCTCCAAGTCTGTCTACTACAAAATATTCCTAATCTAACACAGTATTATCGTGATTATTGATTCTACTTAAATCCATTATAAGCATTTGTTTTACAACATACTGTTCAGTAATGTGAATTTCTTAGACCCCAAAACAGTTATGCTGACATGTTAATAAGTCAAACATACGGAAACCCTGGTACAGAAGCCCTGTAATGAATGCATCGGACAGTTACTACTTTAGGAAAAAAACATGAGGATGGCTATAAATCACCAAAAATACATAGTCCAAGTGCTTCTTATTCCCTTTATATTAACCTAGAGTTTTTCAAGTCAACTAGAAATCTACTAAACAGTGTAAGGATTGATCACTAACTACAGCCCGAATCATCTTACACTAAGCTTAATTGAATCCAATTTCTATTTCCAGGACCAAGGCAATATTGCTAATGTTCAATACTAATAAAATAGTGGTTTTAGGTTCTCTTAATTTGGCCACGCCCCATGGGGATAGTGGCTGTATGACAACATTTATAAAAAAAAGTGATATGCGCATGCAAAACATGACTGAATGAACAGGTTATAGTGCATGTAAAATCTGCCTCAGTACATGCAAAATCAGTAACTGAACAGGATACTTTGTCTACAAAATTAACTATTTGCGTGTACATGTACAAATTTGGGGGGTGCAATTTAGTTTTTAATTTTTTAAAAATCTGTCTACTCTGATTTTTTTGGGGGGTGCTCGAATAGGAGACCGTTACCAAGTATTAAAAAGTGTCAATAATACCACTTTCAGGGTGCCTCCTGCCATTAAAGAGGTCTGCCTAAGATCTGCTATCCTCCTCTTTACTCAAATGTCATTCAGCTTCATCTCACAATGAAATTCTTATCTTATGCTTATGACATCACAGTCTGTTACCAAAGAAATATGATATCATCAGCTCAACACTGTGACTTCACTGTAGGACCAAACAAAAGGAACCAATATGCTGAGCAAAAACTCTTATGTTAACGTCATGAGTAAAATCCTTGTCCCTTTGAATCTAATGGCAAAACTACGACTGACTTCAATAGGATCACTATTTCACCCCACCTATCTGAGAATTAGCAAGCATGGCAAGAGAAACAGTGAAAGACACAAACAATGTAGTTGCGACGAGGAGTCCTGTGGCACCTTAGAGACTAATAGATTTATTGGAGCATAAGCTTTCGTGGTCAAAGACCCACTTCTTTGCCCACAAAAGCTTATGTTCCAATAAATCTATTAGTCCATAAGGTGCCACAGGAGTCCTCGTCACTTTTGCAGATTCAGACTAACATGGCTACCCCTCTGATACTAAATAATGTAGATGTATCTGAAGTATTCCCAGTCTATAAGTTCCTCTAACAGTGGACTCTTCAAGAACACTTCACATTAATATGCAAACTGTTAGGATTCATTTGCTAATTCACTTAAGGTAACAGTCTCAGAGGGGTGTCCGTGTCAGTGTGTAATTTAAAACAAGTGGTAACAATTATTTATTTAGGATGGATGGATAAAGCTTTAAGGTAACAGTTTTACTAGATTTGTAAAATGTTCATATCTTCCTACTCTATCAAGTACCTTCATCAAATCTTTTCTTCGCTGTTTCTATCCTTGATTTGTCTGCCCTTGTTGTCAGAAGCTCATGGTGTGTTTGTGTCTTGGAAGATATTCCCAATATCCTTGAGGGAACCACAGTCCTGATCTTAGGCACACTGAGATTTCTCTTTCCACCACAGGTCACACTACATGCAAAACCCCTCAAACTCTTGGCTGGCGCCTTGTATTCCTCTGTGATCTCACAGTCCACAAGTGTTAAAATTGATTGTCTTGTGGTCTGAGGCTGAACCATGTAAATTCCTTATCCAGATACACCCTATATACAGGCTATAGCTGTAGATGCTTCCCAGGAACAGGGAAGAGGAGCTAGCACAATGTGCAGCCTGCATAAATCTCAGACATATTCAAATGCATCACAGTACTCACCCCCATGATCTGGCCACAGCTTTCACACTTTCTGTGAAAGAAAATTGATAAACTGTATAAGTTGGCCATAGATCTCAAAACCTTAGAGTACCTCCCACAACCGTATGCTTCAGACCAAGTTGCTTTTGGATACAAAGTCTCTCACACACACCAATCCACCACACACACACACGCCCTCCTAAAAGTACACTAGCAGTACTTACAATTCTGTTTTGAGATTCTGATGAAGATCTAATCTGAAATGATGCCACCTTGACAGAAACCCCACTACTACCCATCTGTCGCAGTCTGCGCTTTCTTTTTCAGCCAGATACATTATTTATAATTAAGTCTTCGGTAACTGTGATGAAATAGGACTAGAATTGGTCTACCATTTCTGCTTAGTTTTCCTTAGAACATAGTTTTAAAAACTGATTCTCATCCCCTGAAAAGATTAAATATCATAGATATAATAGACATGAAGTGTTCCTCAAGAAGTTTCAAGCACTCTCTAGAAAGTACTATTTTTTTAAAATGTCCACTGCTTTATAAAAACAAGTTGCCAGTGTCAGCCATTTTTTTATCCTAACAGCCAATACATGAGGGGTGCGTCTATACTGGCAAGATTTTGCACAAAAGTAGCTGCTTTTGCGGAAAATCTTGCCAGCTGTCTACACTGGCCGCTTGAATTTGCGCAAGAGCACTGACGTTTTAATGTAAGAATTCAGTGCTTCTTTCACAAATACTTTGACGCTCCCACTCAGGGATAAGCCCTCTTGCGCAAGAATACTTGTGCAAGAGGGCCAGTGTAGACCGGCACCTTAATTTTTTGCGCAAAAAAGCCCGATGGCTAAAATGATCATCGGAGCTTTCTTGCGCAAAAGCACGTCTATACTGGGCATGGATGCTTTTGTGCAAAAGCACTTTTTGTGCAAAAGCATCCGTGCCAATCTAGATGCTCTTTTGCGGAAATAATTTTAACGGAAAAACTTTTCCATTAAAAGTATTTCTGCAAAATCATGCCAGTCTAGATGCAGCTGAGGTGTTTCACTAGGCAAGAGAAACAATTATATATTTGATTCTGTCTGGTCATGGTAGCAGCCACCGTACGTACTTTCGAGGAAGTATTCCTTTACTGTTTCCTGTATCACTATTCACTAACCAGGTAAAAACAAAAACAAAACCTGATCGGTTATGACTAAGAGTCTATTTTTGCCCTTTTTGCAAAACAACAACAGTGTTAATCAGGTTAATTCAATCATCCAAACCAAAATGGTTCATGCTTTCCTGCCAAATCAACCAACCACAGCAAAATCTGTTATCAGTGATTGCTCAGCTTCCAGTCGAAAACATTGAAGCCACACAGTCCCAAAACTTCCCCCAAAATAACCTTAAACTTACTCTTAGATGGCAAGACTGAAGCATAGGAAACAACCTCATCAAAGGGTATTTGGGATGCAGTATTTGTACAGAACAAATACATGGTAACAGATTTAGCAGAGGGAACAAGAGACAACAGTTCTCTTACAATACTCTGAGCTAGATATTAGGGATTATTTGGTATGAAATGTCCCTGTCAAAGAGGTATCATAACCAAAACTTATTTAGGCCTTTCTGATTGTTTAACTGGAAGGGCAGGAGGTGGGAGAGAAGAGAATCATTTATGAAACTGGTTCATCAGTGTTTAAAGCTTTCAAGCTCTATCGGTGGAGGGGGTAAGGGCTGCAACAACTTATTTACACAATTATCTAAATACGATTAAACAGCTGATGGACAAATATTAAACTAGAAAATGTATAGTCATTTCAGCTTAATGTAATCCTCTTTCTGTAAACACCCAAGATGATTTTTTTTCAACCAGAACAGTCCTGACATCTCATAAGCCTAAGGGTGAATAGCAAGAGATTGTTTTTGATAGTTATAAATATTCAAAAGACATGCA